TAATCCAACATATAGTCCACTTTAGGTTTCCGAACTTTAGTTATTAGTACGAAAAAAAAAAAAAACACTTATTAACATTGAAACCAATAAATCACATGTGAAAAATAGAATCTGGAAATGCACAAATACTATAATTAGCATCCCCCCCTTGAAGTTTGCAATGCCCCCCTGGGGTATTAATTAGGGGTAATAAGTTAAGTCAATATATATACAAGTACCATTTCAAAAACAGGAATTATTATTCAAAACTAAATACATTCATAATACCTATGAAAACTTTTAATGTACTTTTGTACATAGAAATTTCATAGCAGCTTCAAAAATAAATTGTGCTTAGTTCCAGAATTTGAACAATTTTATATATAACTTATAAATTACAGTACTTTTTTGATCATCACAATAAGTTACCTATATGGAAGATCTTTACACTGCTATTGTTTGGGCTCTTGAGAATGACTTTTTTTCTTCCATAACCTAATCCAGTCATAGGACACAAGATTTTCCAATAAAATGAAGTTTATGGTGCCTAACATTGCAAAGAGATTAGTCGTGCTATTTATATGAAATAAACTTAGTTATGACATGGTGAGTACACGAAAACGACAAGAAAGAACTCCGGAAAGGGTGGCTTATGGGGGTAAACTTGTGCTGAAGATGCCATTGAAATCTATAAAAAGGGGGCTCAAATTACATTTACACTTCCATAATGAAAGATAATATATCTATGTGAAATAAGCATAAGTATACAAGAACTATATAAACGTCTATGTTGTTATATATGACTGAATTTATTTAAATTAACATAAGGCTTTATATTTCTGTAAAATAAAGATTTAAAACATACAAATTCATGTTGAGCAACATTTTTTGATAGCTCTTACCTGTAACATACTGACAAAAAAAAAAAGATCATTTTGACTTTCATGGATGTCCTAACGCACCTGCTCTATAGAAAAGTAAAAATTTAATCTTACCCTTGATTTTCAGAAATAATTAATGCCCCTCTTAAATTCTTGTAAAGTGCCAGCCTCCACAACTGCTGACAGCAGCTCATTCTTCATTGCTCAACCTCATAGTTGCTGATTAGCCTTTAAAATAACAGATTGTGTAATCCTTGGATTGACACAATTCTATATAAGACTTTATATTAATATTTAGCACACCACATAGACAGAAAATTAAAGTGAAATTTAAAACATGCTTGCACTTACGAATCTGAAGTCCTATTATTCTATGTATTTGACAAATATACTTTTTCATATATTTGAACATACATACACATATTTATATATGTATATCTATACTTACGTCAGTTGGAGCAAATGCACAGCTATCACCCAAGGTCTTGGCTATTTCCTGACCTTTGGAAGTAGGAAGATCACAAATAACGACCCGAGCTCCATGGTTGACCAATCTCTGGACAGTTGCCTGACCTAATCCTGAAGCTCCTCCAGTGACCAAGGCAACAAGTCCCTGAGAAAGTAGCATCATGTACATTATACAGCAGATGCTACCCATCATTTTACAACTGGAGTTCTTAAATCTCAGAACTTTGCCTACTTATATTCTTACATTAGGCATCTAACACCAGTAATAGGCATGCTTAAGGTTAAATTTCAGCAAAATCAATTCATTTATATGCTGACACATTTTCTGAACAAGACATTTAATATTAATCAAAGTGATAGAAGAATATCAGTTTTTTTCTTTGATGCATATAACTTGTGCATTAGCTTTTTAAATGCTTCTAACTTTCTATAGCTCTTTATTTTTGTGTACAAAAACAAATTATTTCCCATTTATGACATATTCCCACATATCACTAATAAGACCACTGGATCTAGAGTTCTTTTATACAGTTTTTCTCACACCCACTATGGAGAATGTCCATGCAACTATTAGTGACTTTAAAAGTCAACTTCCCTCTGGACACTAAAATTGTTTCACTCCAAATCTCAAGCCAATAGTGTTTTAGTATAAACTATCTTTTTTTTCCTTCAAAACCAGAAAAAACTCTACTTTCTCAGGAAAGTTTAAACAAATATGTTACAAGAATAAAGAACTGCTAAGATTTATCCAACCATCAGAATGCTAAATGTAATGTATTTTATAAATCTATTTGGTTTAATAGTTATACAGGATGGTATCCATACTAACAACAAACCAACAGCCCATCATATTTTTAATTGTAACAAAATATGTTAGACTATATGTAACTTTGAAATGTACTGTAACTCACCATATAAGACTTTTTTGATATGTGAACTACATTGTTAATAAAAAAAAAAGTTAGCTGGAATATGCTACACCTACCTATCTAAAACCATTAAGCACAGAATGAAAGTTAAACAACAGCTCCTATTTTAAAATGTCCACATGATGCAAAAAAACAGAGTAAAAGATAAATTAAACACTATATATAGAAACTATAGTTTACCACTATAATAGATCTAGTTTTTGTTGTTGTTCTTAATACTAACATGATTACAATGATAAGTTGTATGATATACAAGAGTTCAATACACTGTGCCAACATTTTTTAACATATAGATAGCAAAAAATATTATTCAATTCTATCACAGAAAATAAGTGTTTTTAAAGAAGACTGGCTACTTTCTCTACCATTTATGGTGATGCATTCTATTTCATAGAAAATCCAATGTTTAAAGAAACCTCATGAAATATCACCTCTAGGGCTGAAAGCAAAATAATATATGTTGGTTATTTTAAAAGACACATTCATAACAGCAGGAAAAGCTGTCCTGCAACATTTTTCATAAGAATAAGTAAAAATAGAAATAACTTAAATCTAACCATACTGTATGTTGATTTCACTACAGTTTTATTTAATTTCTTAAATCTCTATCATGTTACCCGTGTTTGCCATTTTAGTTTTAGTGTTTTAGTTTGCCATTATATAATTTGGAAAATAACTAATACTGTTATTAATCTAACAATCAGAATGAAATGTCTTTTTGGGCCTAGGAAAAAATGCATGGAACTCTGATAGTGTCAGTAAATTATCCATATAACAATAACTAATATTGAATGCATATTACACCCTTAATTATACAATGTTTCAACTTTTCTTACTATACTGAGAAATCACAATCTGTTACAAATAATATTTCCACTTGTACAATTATAAAAACTTTCATAAACTATTTTGTTCAACCATCTCAAAATATAATAACATATAATAAAATTGAAAAATTTCTTAAGGTCTGAAGTATGGTTTCATGTCCAACTGCTCAAATGTAAAACTGTGTAATAGCCCCACAATGCCTTGACATCACAAAGCAAAACTGAAATATATGTGCAAATCCAGCTGTCACTGGAGATGTCACACTTATTGGCAGAACCAGTCACAGAGTACAGGGAGTGTGGGTGAAAGAATTAATGGAGGGGGGCCCCCCTGCTACAGTGTACCTGAATATATATATACATGAGAGATAGGGAGATTAGAAACAAAAAAAATATAACCAAACATAATGCATCTGAAACTCAATTTTAGTAATGACCTACCCAGATTTCACACATAAAAAAATGGAAGCAGATGCAATAATAACAATGAAAAAGAAAATATATTCACAAAATTCTTGTTCAAGTGAAATTAAAATTTCCTTGCACTAACACTGCCACACTTTTCTATGAAGTTTTCGAAATTGCAGCGGTAACTTAGATTTATTTCAATTTTTTTGTTGATAGTAGTTACTAGGTCGGTCAAACTGACATAACATAATTAAAATAACTGATAAAATATAAAGTTTTATTGAAAACAAACATTTTAAATGTATCTAGATTTTAAGAGATTATGCAAATAAAATTTGAGATTTTTGAGATGAAGTGTTTTTAATCTTAACATTAAAATCACTTTGCATGCAGACTAATAAAAAATACTTGATATATTCACAGAAAAATCTTTTTTCAGTTTAACTAAACATACTTCACTAAAAATATGATTTTTTTTATGTGTAAAATGTTTACTGAAAGTCTGCTAAAACTTGTGAAGATATACATACTATATTAAAAATAAAAGTTTGTCGCATCAAAACTATAAAGACTTTAAACGAGTACAAAGACGTTATGTGGTAGATCAATTTAATTACAAGTGAATGAACTAAACAGGGCCCCAAATTATTGGGATTTGAGGCCCGCTTCCATCGGGGGCACGGGTGCGTCGCAGCCGCTGCATCCCCCTAAGGGCTGGCCCTGCTTATTGGGCTTCACCTGGCAACAGTTTTAAGCTTTTATCATTCGTCAACTAAACTCTACATGAGTAAATTTTAATTTAAGTTTTATTTATCTTATACTAATATCAATACCAGAAAAATGCTTGTTCTGTTATTCCTAATTAAATCTAAATTTTACCTTTACTTTAGTGAATATCTAAAATAATTAGATATTATAAGATAATATTATTTACGGAATTTTGAGATAACACAAGACTTAAGAGGATGCGCTAACACAAGATGTTGACCTTGAAATATGAACACATTTTTGGGTTAAAAATTAAGTTTCATCAACTATATAACGTTACTTGAATAAATAATACACCACGACTAACTGATCAAACCATTAAACTAACAACGTAATTACCTTAACACTTCTAATAGTTGACATAATCGTTTCTTGACCACAAACAACACCTTCCAAGCCGCCTTCCGTTATAAAATCTTCACTTGGGCCTTGAAGAATTTAAGAAGTGTACATTGACATCTTCTGGTAAAAATGTGCATAAATAGATTTTCTTATAATTAATTTGTTTAAAGTATTAATTGATTAAACAATTCTATGACACATGCACTAAAGTATAGTTCATCATATTACAATAGCAATCTACCAGAATCACAAGGGTGATAGATATATTCCAGAATATTAGGAATAAGATTTGATAATAAAATTTTCTGTTATAATTGTAGTTAACTCATGACTTTGGATCAAGCATAGGCTAATGATTAACATGCTAGACTATGGATCTGTGGGTCAATTGTTAGCATCCCATTACCACAATATATATATATATATATGCGCTTCGCAGTTTGGAGCTGTGAGTCATTATATCAGTGACAGTCAAATCCTATCATTTGATCAGATAAGAGTAGCTCAAGAGTTGGCTGTGAATGTTTGACTGGCTGCCTATCGATTCAAAATAACTACAAAAGTGGTACAAATTCATACTATATATATATTTCACATCCCAAATCAAATTTCATACATATTGTTCCGACAGTGGAAGTCACGCGACGCTGGAAACATGCGCGCTGGAGTTTCTAGAAGGATCATTGAA